GGTATTTATAGATACCAACTATGTCTAGATCTAATCTTACTAGGAAACTAATAAAATAATTAAATATTAAATCCTAAGTCTAGAAAGCAATAAAATCCTAAACCTACCAAATAACTAATGCTTGGTTTGCACACCAAGCAAATCTAGAAGCTACCTAATTAATCCCAATTCCTTAGCCGCCTCAATTACTTCGCGTGTGTCCCTTGCGGGCACGCCGTTGCGCGTCGCCTTCGTCACTCCTATGCCCGTGCGGAATGGGTCGTCTATCCCACACGCGCACACCATCGTGCGCGCCCAGTCCCGCGTCCGACTCCCTCGCGCGCGTGCGCTGCCTTCACTGCCTACGCCTACTGCGTATAGGATTCCCGCGCGCTGCTCCTGCACGCGCGCGCCATCCCGCGCCTTTCGCTCCTGCCGCGTCCCGCCTGCGTGTGCACGCCGCCCTCTCGCCATGCCTAGTCCCGCAAGGACTAGGTCTCGTGCGTCCGCTGGCCACTCGCGCATATCCGTCCGTGCCCCACTGCTGCCTTTCTTCTTGTGCGCGTCCCAGCCACTGCCCTGGCCCTCATCGCCTACGGCGCCCCCACGTACACCCGTGCACCTACCAGCCATGCGCGGCTTGTTCGCCCATACGTGCGCATCAAGTGCCGATGCGCACCTTATGCCTTGTCGCTCCTTACTAGCCTCTCCGGACTCCAATGCCACTTCCGTATCATTCCCCTCCTCTTCAAGACTTTCCTTGTCCCCAAGGATTAGAAAATTCAGCTTCCCATCTCGACCATGCCTATCTTCTTCATCCGGTGACTCGCCTGGATCCTCAGTCCTCAACTTGACCCTCTTGCTCGACCTCCCGAACTCCATAGTTCCTTTCCAATAATCAGTTGTGATTGGACCAAGAGTCTCCAACCACTGGCATCCAAGTACTATATCAGTCGCCTTCAATGGCAATGCATAGAGATCCACTCTCATCCTTTGACCTTGAGCCTTCAACTTAACACCCTTGAATAGAATATCCCCTCGTAGTGTTTCTCCGTTTGCAACCTTAACTCCAAAGGGTTTCACTTTGGTGAATGGAATCTCGATTTCCTTGGTCAATTCCTCATCAATGAAGTTTAGCGTAGATCCGCTGTCGACCAACACCTCCACCAGTTTTCCTCCCACTTCAGCCGTGAATGTAGTCATCTTCGGACCACGCTTCTTACTTTTAACCATATGTAATAGGGACTCCTCTTTTGGTTCTTTTTCTTCCTCAAATTCCAGCAAAAAGACCTCCTTACCCTTGCACCTGTGGCCTGGCGTAAATTTTTCGTTGCACGAATAGCAAAGGCCTTTCTCTCGCCGTCGTTGCATCTCCTCGTCGGTAAGGCGTCGTATGTTGCTCGTCGTTCGAACAATTTCGCCCATCGGCTTGCCTTCGGTTCGCGTTGGCTGTTCCTCGGTCGCGACGTGTGCGCGTTTGGTCTCTGCGCGTACGTCGCTTGGTTTGGCCTTGCGTACTGCCACGAGATGATCTTCGTGCAGCCTGGCCGACTCTATAGCCGCTCGCATCGAACCTGGCCTATCCAACCTTACCTCGGCTGCCAGCTCAGCCTTTAGTCCCCCAACAAACGTTCCTAC